CCGTGTCCTGAAGATGGAGATGATCAGTGACGGTCCCATAGAAGTCTATAGAGCCGTGTCCTGAAGATGGAGATGATCAGTGACGGTCCCATAGAAGTCTATAGAGCCGTGTCCTGAAGATGGAGATGATCAGTGACGGTCCCATAGAAGTCTATAGAGCCGTGTCCTGAAGATGGAGATGATCAGTGACGGTCCCATAGAAGTCTATAGAGCCGTGTCCTGAAGATGGAGATGATCAGTGACGGTCCCATAGAAGTCTATAGAGCCGTGTCCTGAAGATGGAGATGATCAGTGACGGTCCCATAGAAGTCTATAGAGCCGTGTCCTGAAGATGGAGATGATCAGTGACGGTCCCATAGAAGTCTATAGAGCCGTGTCCTGAAGATGGAGATGATCAGTGACGGTCCCATAGAAGTCTATAGAGCCGTGTCCTGAAGATGGAGATGATCAGTGACGGTCCCATAGAAGTCTATAGAGCCGTGTCCTGAAGATGGAGATGATCAGTGACGGTCCCATAGAAGTCTATAGAGCCGTGTCCTGAAGATGGAGATGATCAGTGACGGTCCCATAGAAGTCTATAGAGCCGTGTCCTGAAGATGGAGATGATCAGTGACGGTCCCATAGAAGTCTATAGAGCCGTGTCCTGAAGATGGAGATGATCAGTGACGGTCCCATAGAAGTCTATAGAGCCGTGTCCTGAAGATGGAGATGATCAGTGACGGTCCCATAGAAGTCTATAGAGCCGTGTCCTGAAGATGGAGATGATCAGTGACGGTCCCATAGAAGTCTATAGAGCCGTGTCCTGAAGATGGAGATGATCAGTGACGGTCCCATAGAAGTCTATAGAGCCGTGTCCTGAAGATGGAGATGATCAGTGACGGTCCCATAGAAGTCTATAGAGCCGTGTCCTGAAGATGGAGATGATCAGTGACGGTCCCATAGAAGTCTATAGAGCCGTGTCCTGAAGATGGAGATGATCAGTGACGGTCCCATAGAAGTCTATAGAGCCGTGTCCTGAAGATGGAGATGATCAGTGACGGTCCCATAGAAGTCTATAGAGCCGTGTCCTGAAGATGGAGATGATCAGTGACGGTCCCATAGAAGTCTATAGAGCCGTGTCCTGAAGATGGAGATGATCAGTGACGGTCCCATAGAAGTCTATAGAGCCGTGTCCTGAAGATGGAGATGATCAGTGACGGTCCCATAGAAGTCTATAGAGCCGTGTCCTGAAGATGGAGATGATCAGTGACGGTCCCATAGAAGTCTATAGAGCCGTGTCCTGAAGATGGAGATGATCAGTGACGGTCCCATAGAAGTCTATAGAGCCGTGTCCTGAAGATGGAGATGATCAGTGACGGTCCCATAGAAGTCTATAGAGCCGTGTCCTGAAGATGGAGATGATCAGTGACGGTCCCATAGAAGTCTATAGAGCCGTGTCCTGAAGATGGAGATGATCAGTGACGGTCCCATAGAAGTCTATAGAGCCGTGTCCTGAAGATGGAGATGATCAGTGACGGTCCCATAGAAGTCTATAGAGCCGTGTCCTGAAGATGGAGATGATCAGTGACGGTCCCATAGAAGTCTATAGAGCCGTGTCCTGAAGATGGAGATGATCAGTGACGGTCCCATAGAAGTCTATAGAGCCGTGTCCTGAAGATGGAGATGATCAGTGACGGTCCCATAGAAGTCTATAGAGCCGTGTCCTGAAGATGGAGATGATCAATGACGGTCCCATAGAAGTCTATAGAGCCGTGCCCTGAAGGAGACTGAGGAAATGCTTCCTCCTGCCTGCAGCAGACTGATCACTGGGGGGAGGGGAGACTGAGGAAATGCTTCCACCTGACTAGCAGCATAATTTCAGTCTAGGCAAAGTCACCCGACTGGAGCTCACGTTGGGCTTAATGATAAAAGGTGGAGCTATTGGTGCTGTATATTGTGATATGCCAAGCATGCAGCCACGTAGATTTATAAAGTTCCTGACAGGTCCACTTTATAGATGTAAGTAATGTCCAGCATAGCGTGGGAGCGAGCCCTGATCTCCCAGCAATCCCGGGATTGTTCCTTTAGTCTGTAAGATTAATTTGCATGGGATTATTTGGACGGAGAACACAGAGTCACGCCATCTTACAATGTTCATCGTGTGACATTTCCCCGGAGCTTCCATGTATTATAAAATGAAAACTGTCCTGTTGTAGTGGAAGACGTTTCCGGAATCTCGTTATATTACACCGAGCAATCCAGAGGTGCCGTGGACACTATTGTGGAGTCGGGGGATTCCATTCCCAGCAGGGAAGGCGACTCCATGGAAGGTTACATGTCTCTGCTGAATGCAGCACAGTGGCTTAGTGGTTAGCACTTGTATGCATGTGAGATAGAGATCTTAGATTGTAAGCTCCTTGGGGGCAGGGAGTGATGGGAATGTGCCCTGTACAGCACTGTGTAAATTGTTGTCACTATATAACTACCTCTAATAAATAAAATTGTGCAGTGCCTTCCCCCGCCCCTCCCCCAGCAAGGGAGAAAACCAGCAAGGGAGCAATGCCATCGCCGACACAGGTGAGAATTCTCTCTTCCCCTTTAGCGACCTTGTCACTGGTAAGTCACCGCCAGCGACAGAAAGTGACACGGGCCTGAAATGCCTGACAACATCCGTGCTTGTTAAAGTGTAAAGAAGAAGAGATACGTTGTAATTCACAGAAATCACTGCGCTGGGAATGCGTGCCTAGCTACCTGATTGGACCAGCCGCAACAATGTGTATAGGTGAACAAATGTAAAGCAAATATGTTGCGCTCGGTCTATGTGAACCAACTGCACACTAAAGTGTTAATAAACAAATCTGTGTAAAAATTAAAATTTTAACAATACGTGTGAAAAAATTGATTCAAGTGGATTATTTACATATGACTAGAAGGTTCAACACACAAACATAATAAGAATAATAAAAATCAACACTGGAACCTTCAGAATTAGTGCCAGTGATCAACCTCATTGGTTCGGCATGTATATTTTAAACACGTGAACCTCTGGCCAGCGGTGTAGTAACACAACACAGAAAACTAAAATTTAAATC